TTAATATTTTTTTTTTTTTAGTTCTCGGCAGACACAACATCTTTGTTGGTATGTGGTGCTGAGGATCGAACCCGGGCCCACACGCATGCCAGGCAATCGCGCTACCACTTGAGCCACATCCCCAGCCCCCTGATTTAGCCTTATCAATATCTTTTCTCAATGATTTGTAAATTTACATTTCTTCTAATAACTCCCAAAATGGTAAGCCAAAGTTCTAACTCTTCTGATTTCTCTACATGTTATAGACCTAACAAGAAACCTGGTGAGTGTAACCTGTAATTCCTGTTTTAACAATGAGAACCATTTTGAAGAAAAGATCTGAGACTTTCGGAGAGATTATAGGGCTGGTAACTGGCTGTTTGGAAATTTGAGTTGTTGCAATTGGAACAGAATATGCTCTTTTCTCTCTACACATGTTAATGCCACCTACAGAGAATAGCCATTTCTCTCTTAAAAATATTCACAAGAACTTCAAACCCATGTATAATGTTCTATCTTTCCCATAAACTCATTTCCCCATCTTTATTCTCCATCCTGTTTAATGGGTACCATCATTTACTTACTAACCAAGCCAGCAGTCCTCTACTTGACTTTTACCTTCCCCTCAGCCCCATTAACCCATAGGTATTATGTCCTTTTAATTTTGAGCCTCGATCACTCCTCAGTTAGCTTCCTCCCTTGCTGACACCTTAAAGTAGGCCCATACGCAAAGTACAAACAGCACCTTAAATACACACTTGCTCCTTCCCTTTAAACCCTACACCAATAACAGCATGATTCTTTCTTACACTAATAAAATAATGGAATTTTAAAGTCTCCTCTTGTTTCCAACATCACTTGTTATTCCTCGTCCCCTTCAAATCTACTCTTTAGCTCCACTGCTCAGAATAATTCCTCCTTCCCTTCACTCAACAAAAGTTTGTCAAGTGCTATTTTTGTGACAGATTCAAGGGATATTAAGGAAAAGAGCCTTAAGAAACTTACAGCCTAATAGAGAAACAGATGATGTGTTAACCATTCTAGGTATTGCAGGACAACAGGGTACGCAGAATCTAAACTTGCTTTAGAGAGTTTGGAAAATCTCCAGTGAAACATTAATGAGCTAAGGGTTTAAAGAGAAATAAGAGTTTGTCATCAGAGTATGGACATAGCATTTCCAAACAGAACAAATCATGCTTGCAAAGGTAGCAATGATCAGAACAGGCTGTTAAAGGTGATGATTTTTGTATCACTGCTAAGTGGAACAGCAATGAATAACAATTATGTGACTTTAGGTAACAGGACAATTTGGATTTGTGAAAGATTACTTTCTCAGCGATTTGGGAGTGTGGAGTGGAGAAGGTGAAAACAGAAAAAAGGGAGTTTATAAGGAAGATCTGGCAATTGTTTGGCAGATGATGAGTGCCTGAACTAGGAGACTGTAGGCATAATAAGCAGATGTTAAGATACTTCCAAGAGACCAAAATTGCAATGTTGCTTCCTCAAAGGTAGCAATGATTTACTCATCAATACACTCTGTTAATCATACTTGAGATAATTAATAAAGGAAAAAAAATTATTTTGGATTATGGTTTCAGGGGTTTCAGTTTGTGATCTCTTGTCCCTTTACTTTGGGCCTATAAGAGCACATACATCATGGCAGGAGCACATAGCACAGAAGATCTGTTTACCTCATGTCATTCAGAACACAAAACAGAGTACAAGGAAGGGGCTGGGGCCCTAATATCCTCTTCCAAAAAAAAAAAAAAACTTCCTCCCACCAGGCTCCACCTCCTAATGGTCCCAGGCCTCCAGATGGCACCAAGCTGAGAGTGTAACACATGAGCTTTTAGGAGACACTCCAGATCCATACTATGGCATGACCTAGCTGCCACAAGGCCAGCCTCAAGTAAATGCTCAATAAATACACGTTGGATTCTGGGAAGACAGAAGTATCACTGGAGTTGTTTTAATCCTCCTTAATCTCTCTTCCAAACAGACATAATGTGCATTTTCATCTCACCCATCTTCTCTCAAGTTATTCATTCCCTAAGTATTCATTCTTTACGTTGAAGACACCTCATGATTATGAATATTAAATATCTTAATTATTTGTACACATCTGTTACCCTTAAAAGTTTGTGAGCTCTTTAAGTACGCTGATGCCATTTCATATTTATGTGTGTTTGGCTTCTATGACTAGCCTTTTTCTTTTTTTCCTGTCACTTTGTTGATACTAAAGAAAAATAGCGGGCTGGGGATGTGGCTCAAGCGGTAGCGCGCTCGCCTGGCATGCATGCGGCTCAGGTTCGATCCTCAGCACCACATACCAACAAAGACGTTGTGTCCGCCGAAAACTAAAAAATAAATATTAAAAAAAAATTATAAAAAAAAAGAAAAATAGCATTTAAGGCTATTTCTTCCCAAAATGAGCCATTAAAAATTCATGTGTACAATGAACCAAAATGCATTCTGCTGTCATATATACTTAATTAGAATTAATTAATTAAAAAATTTCATAACTAAAAACATACACTGTGTTCAGAGTATGCACCTACCTAGCAGCAAAAAAATTTAAAGTTATGACAATAGTAAATACAAATTAAACTTTAAAATAAATAAGGTTATAAAATAACTCCAAAAATAACACAAATAATGCAAATGGTGACATTGATATCATCCAACTGAAATAATAACAGTCTAGAGAGAAGTGGAAAAAATAATTTATTGCAGACCTTTTACACAATAACATTGAACATTTATACATATATTGAGTGTGCTGATATGAAAGACTAAAGTTAAAGATATTTTTACACAAAAGTAGTTGCACTGTATTTTATAAAGATAGATATTAATAAATTATCAGACACATTTTAAGAGTAACAGGCCAGTTATTCCAACAGGAATTCATTCTAGGTTGAAATCAGACTAACAATTCTGAACATAGTGCCCTGGATAAAATCACATCCTTCTGAGTAAAAAACAACAAAAAAAGCAAGCTCATTTCTGGAAGTGAAAGTTTAAGAACAGCTCTATAGCAGTACCCATCAGTGTATTTCCAGCTTTATTCCTGGACACAGCTAGAGTCCCTGACCTGTAGCCCAAGCCAATGTGACATCTCAATGTGAAAAAACAGCTTTTTATAACAGCTGCAAGTGGATAATGTGATTTTATATAAGGGATACAGGAGAAATGGGAGCACTTTAGAAGAATTATGATTGCCCATGTGATCTGAATGGCCAACCAAACACTTTAATAGCAGAAATGTATATTTTGTATTTCCAAAAGGAAATTACCATACTTCAAAATAGTCACTCTTAGCGTGGTATATTCATTCTTACTTTGGAAGTCTGAAAAATAAATGGCATTTTTTCCTAAAACCTAGAATTCAGTCCTTTAGAAAATGATTTCTATAATGACATACACTGACATGATATAAACTTTGTTCTATGTTATAGTCATTAAAATATACATATAGATGTGGAGTATTGAACAGATTTGGTAAATAATTATATATATATCTCCAAATACTGCTCTGTTTCATTTAATTAAATTCAACAACTATTTATTAGGTGCCTACTACTTGCAGATCACCAGTAGGTAATGCTCACAGTAGATTTTGAGATACATGAAGCTCACACCATCCACATCAAAAGCCAAACTTTAGATAGTATACTAAAACCTTAAAAATAATCAAAAGCAGAGCTAAAGTTGAATAACAGAGCGAGATATATCTAGGAGAAGTGCTTGGGATAATCAGATAAGACAGTGACATCTGTGTCCATCCATAGGGAAGCATGGCTCCTTGGCTTGGCACATATTAGGAGACAATGGGAACTTGATCTGCAGTTCTTTTCATCTCCCAATCTGAGATTCAGTTATCATCCTGATTAGTTTCCTTTTAAAAGTGAAAGAAATGCAGAATTAATTTGTAGTGATAATAAATCTTGCATCATCCCTCAAATATATTTTTGTGTTTCTGGCAGTATGCTTTGCATTCATATCTACAGTGTCTATAAACCATTTACAATACAATTCAGAGAAGAATTATTCTTAGGGTCACCCAGCTAAGAAGACTAACACTTGAGATATAGTTTATTTTTCAGAAAAAAATAAAAATGTTCATTATCATGCCAACCTCATAGGCAAATTATTTAAAAGCAAAAACAGCTAAACAATAAATATTTAAACACTTGGCATTCCATTCTGTTTGAGACTTGCTATACTCTAAAAGGCAGTTTACATACACAGAAATAAATATGATTAAGTAGTCTCACCCGCTCTGAAGAACCAATAACGTAACAGGGGAACAGAATGTCACACTTGGTTCTGATGCTCTACCTCGTGAGGTGGAAGAGGCTAGATGTACCCCTGGGATGAACTAGGCCACTGCAAGGGGCATGATTCCACCTTGGGTGTACTCAAGTCCAAGGGCTCTGGATAGAGTACAACCACAGTACTTGCAAACTCCTAAAACTTCCCTACAGAATTATTTAGAGTCTGGCAAAACATAAGTCATTCATTCCACTGGAAGAAATTCAAAATGGACTTGAACTTCAAAAAAATCTCCAAATGCCCCACAGGGAGATACTTTGGACCTTAAGCTTCATGGTTAAGAAACCTCCTAGGGACTGTAGCCCTTACTTAGTCCTGGTGGTGAGCTTAGAACTAGCCCAGCTCTGAGGGGACCTAGTAGGGAGGGTGTCCCTTCATAGCCCACTCAGTCACATCTGAACTAAATTAGGAAAAGCAAAAAAGGCAGTTCTTCTCCAACTGGTGCTTTGGTTTTAATTTCATTGGAGAACAACCATAAAGTATCACCTACAAAGTATCAATTGATCTAATTGGCTCATATAATGTTTCAGTTTTTTAACCATGTCTTACTTAAGAGTTAATTTCTATAAACAAAAATTCTTTTCCAATGAAACACACTTCTAGGGATTATGATTGAACTCCCCATTTTATACTCTGTCTTTAAAATCAGGTTCATCATACCTCTGTTTCTGTATTTTTTCTGGAGAGAAACCAAACTTGCATTGGTTCTTTTTTGCCCTTCATGGACACTGGGCCTCTGTGCTCCAAATGGAATTGTGGATCTGAGTTTTCTGGAGACATAAGACATCTAAAAGAGAGGGGAGAGAGAGTAAAGAGAGAAAGGGGTCATGTATCCAAGTTACAAATTAAGACAGCAAAAGTTTCTAAAGTTGTATTCCAAGACACTCCAGATTTTAGTAATAATGATCATGTCAGGAGTTCCTAAGATGGTGTAGAATCATTTCAAATGGGAACAATGACATAATCTTCTTAAATGAAAAATAATCCCAAAGCAGGGGAAAGAAGTGGAGGTGATAACCACTTGAAGATAAAGGAAAAAAATCACTGAGTTAATACACATGCAAGAAACTCAGAGAAACTCAATGAATACCAAGGCTTTTCCCCTTACCTGTAAGTGTATTCAGAAACATTTATTTTCCCCTTTTCGCCTGTAGTTTCTGTTCTGCTTGTAAGGTTGACCGTGTTTCCAAAGAGACAATATCGGGGCATCCTCTGTCCTATGACACCTGTCACTACTTCTCCAGTGTGTATCCCTATTGTTATCTGCAGAAACCAAATCTTTGCTTTAATAACTTTGATCAGTAATATGTGCATTTTTGCTTATTTTGTGTTATGGAATGCAGAATCATCATATAAAATCATAATAATTCTCTATAAGAATTTCAAGCACATTACAAGCAACTTCAAAAACTGTCACTAAATCTTGTGTCCCAAGAGAAACATTCTGCTCCAAAAGAATCATTTGAAGTCTGAAGATTGCAAAGATGTGAACAGGGTCACTTGCAAGACACACAGTAAAGAGATTTTAAGCAATAAAACAAAAGAGATGAGAAGTTTAATCTCATTCTCATGACTTTTCAGTACATGGGACAAATGAGATAATTTCCAATATGAGAGAATGTAATACAATGGGTTTAATAAAAATACTCTGGAATTTATTGTCAAGATGCCCTTCTTTGCACATAGTAATGATATCCTGCACAAGAATATAAATTCATTTCTCTCAAAGGTCTACTACCAATATTACACACACACACACATACACACACACACACACACACACACATATGTCTTTTTTTTTTTTTCACTAACCTGAACAGATTCACCATCTACTTGAACCTGGCCAGCAATTTCCATCATGTCCAAAGCGAGGTGGCAAATGGATCGTGCATGGTGGATGCAGGGCTCTGGTAAGCCACTCACTGTCATGTACTTATCACCAACGGTCTCCACCTGACACAGCACACATAGTCAGATGTCCACTGGTTAGCATAAAAATGATACTTTCATTTGTTACTATAATAAAAGACAAAAATCTTCCCAGAGTTCTCAATAACTTTAAGCTCTCCTTCCTCTTAATTATATTAAAATCCTAATAGATTAAATTCCAACAAGAAGAAATCTTGGAATTATTTGGAATTTATGCACTTGGTACTTGGAGTTATGAATGAGCAGAGAAACAATTAGTTTCCTCTAGTAAGCAATTAGTTTCCCACCTGAGATCCCCTTCTAATTCAGTAGAATAATGTATTATTTTATTTCTCCCTGAAATATGAGTCATTTTGATGGCATAAGTGCTCCTGCTCCACCTGAAGTTCAATGATTTATCATGGTCCTTAACCATTTATTCTTATGATATGCTCAACAAGTGCTATATTGTGCCTCAGAAAATGACTATAAAATAAATAGTCCTTGTGAACTTATATTACCCTGGATGCCTAGAGATGGTTTAGTTAACATTCTTGCCTTTATGAAGCACTATTCCACTGACTTTCATTTTTCCAGTATTTTATTTGTTTTTAGTTGAAAATAAGGGCAGAAACACCGAATAAATGTTTATCTTCAAATTGATATTATCTAAAAGCAAATCTGAGCCCCAAGGTCCTGTCTAAAGCTCCCTGACTTCTTTACAATGCAAGGCATTTATATAATTCAGTAAAAATGTCTTTTACAGAGTATTAAAATGAATGCTATTATTTCTACTAAATGTGATAAATGACCTGCATGGTTTTGTTACTCAAGTGCAAATGAGCTGCTGAAGATTTTCTTTTAACCAGGGAATCGTCTGCTCCATAAAACATTGAGCTTGGTTACATGGAAAAGAAAATTTTATAACAAGAAATAATTATTTAAGAAAACGGTAAATAGTGACTACACAGAGGCTTACTGACCCAAGACTGCAGCTATGGTCTAAGAATAGGGATAGTAGTGCTTCTGAAGGGGAAGTTCAGAGCTCAGATTCTGAACAGCACTACAGTGAGTTCTGATGAGGACTTGCCTTATAAACAAAGGGATTTTTCCGTGAATCTGTCAGTGTGTCAAATCTGGTGTAGAGGTCGTTGAGAAGGTTGACAATCTTCATGGCCCCTTCTCCAGATGCATGCTTGCTACAGAAAGCATTGAAGCCCACGATGCCACTGAAGAGGATGGTCACGTTGTCATATCTTTTGGCAGGCACTGGACGCTTATGCCTCAGTTCATTGGCAACGGATGGAGGAAGGACTGAATACAGCAATCTGTTTGTCAGGGTTAGGAGAAAGCCACTGTGAGAAATGCTGATAATAATTTAGTGTTTTTGCTGGTCTTTCAGAGAGCACCAATGCCATTTGCACAGGGTTTTGATAATAAACTTCAAAATTAGCATCACATACTTTCTCTATATGTATATACATATATAACACACATATACATATGTGTAAGTATATATATGCATATATGTAATATATGTATACATATGTGCATATATGTATATATACATATAAATGTACATGTGTATACATACATATATATGCAGAGACAGGAAATATAGAACATATTATATCATTTGTTATTCTAATCACATATATTCCTAAATCCAAGCCTATTCAAACCAAATCAAAATAAGACAAACAAATAAGTAGGCAAAACAAAGGATTGGCAATGGAAACTCAGTTTTCATATATATCCTGTTCCTGCTATTATGACATTCACAGTTTGAAAGTGGTCACTATCAGTGCCTAAAACATTGTATGTAAAACGCAATAATAGAAACATGTTTACATCTCATGAATAAGCAATTAATCTCAGTCTGTATAAAGTAATAAATGAAACAGCACTATTCTGCAGTCTTATTCACACCTCACTTCTTCAAAGAGGACATTGACAAAACAAGTGGAAATTGGTTTAGACAAGAAAACATCTTCTTTCTATAAGCAACACTGAAAATACCACCATGGCATTGGGGATTGTCCCTTTAGGGACAATTGTGATGAGCACACAGGTGGAGGAGGAGAGGTGATAGATTAAGGAGATGAGCAGAGACTTGTGGGCTCTTAATAAAAAGAAACAGGAACAAATGAGGTATCCTCATCTTTTCCCTGCCCAAAGCCAGAGGTGAAGTTTAAATATGCAAAACAGAGCTGAGCTCTCAATGTTTCTTCTAGCCATAGTGGAATGTCTCCAGTCTTGTATTTGAACATCTAAACAGATAACACCTTATAAAATATTAAAGCTATCTTTGAATAGTAAATGCAAACAGAGTAGAATTATTTAGCTTTAAAGGAAATTAATAGTGACTGGTTTATAACAAAATCATCTTGGAAACCCAACATTTTGTAATCTAATCTAATGGAAGGATTCTTGAAGCAAAAGAACTCTAAAAATAAAAAAAAATAATAATTTCAGAAAGTCAAACCCACCTTGGGGAAACAAAACAAAGAAATCATCCTGTGATTAGTACTTATCAGCTACACAATTCAAAGACAAGCCCTTGTTCCAGTTCCCCAAACTCTCTGGTTTGGACTCCAGGTCTCGTGTGGGAATTGAACGCTCTATTCAAATCGACAATTTAGGGGGAAGTGAGTTAAGAGCTTTTTCAATATATTATATAGGATATATGGATATTACCTCAGTTTAAATATACATTCTTTTGATTATTAGTTGTCTATGTTACTGCTATTGTTTGGAACTAACATTACAATCTTTCAGATTCATAATTCCCAGTCCCTACACTAATTTAGAATACAAGAAAAGACATCGTTGAAATAAAACAATTAATTCAAAGTTCATTGTTCAGCACCCACCCAACCCTTGGACCAATGAACGTGGTCAGGATACAACTTTTGCATGAATTCAGAATTTGATTTCAATAATTTTTACACTTTTCTGAGAGATATTCTGACCTCTATCCTTTACCTTGATTTCTAAAAATAGAAGACATATTCCTCTTATCTTTGAGACTGATATATTTTCTTATTCATATTTTCTTCTTACAGCACACTATGGCTGGGGATGTAGCTCAGTGGTAGAGCAATCGACTGGTAGCCATGAGACACTGGGTTCCAGCCCCAGCATTTAAATAAATAAATAATTATTAAGTAAATAAATAAGAGCAAAGTAGAAGATTTTTACCTACTGTTCTAGATATAAATCAGTCCCATGATTTTAAGCCTTGTTAGCAATCTTAACTATAATATCATCATAATATGAGTAAAACTTTGTCCTTATTTAACCATATTCTTACGTGTCTGTCTTTTTCTTTTCATCTTCCAGTGCTCTTAATGTGAGCTGCAGTCTGTCCGTGAGAATTTCCAGTTCTTGGGTTAGTTTGTATTCCTCCCTGAATTGTTCTCCCAAGAGAACAAGGTCTCGGGTGGCATCATGCAGAGGGATGTCACTCAGATACAGACCTCTCCTTGTCAAATCATCCAGGTTCATCACACTGTCATACAGAGAAATAAGACAAACTCACTCCCAACTCGTTCCCATGACAAGATCAGCCCTGATTACTGTCACGGAGCATCGTCCTGATAACTCCTACCATTCAAAGGCAGGCTGAAGAAAAAAATGATGGAGAATTGAATTAATAATATGACTTTAGTAACTTAGATATTTAAAGATCTATCAAAAGACAATGAGCTCGAGATGCATTTTCACCAAGTTGTATTTTTTTGGAATCAAAGAGTGTGCAGAAAACGGGTCTATGAAATATGTTTAATATGTACTTAATAAAAAGTTGCTATTTATAATTTTCTAGAATTTTTCCTTATTATAAACAAAGGAGGAAAAAATCTATCTTAGCAGAAATGATGCTTCTTTTGCGAAACTAGTTCATTTTTACCTATGGGTTCTATGAATCTTATAACTGGCTGTATTTATCATTTGAACACAACTTTTAAAAGTTTACAATATTTATTACCCATCTTCAACATATATTTTATGTACTTAAGAGACCTTTTGTGCTATTCTTACTTTTGGTTTTCAGTTCTTCTTCTGTGCTTATTCTCTTCGACTAATTTTTCTCATTTTTTGAAGCATTATTCGACCTTGCTGAATCCTACTGCACTCTTTGTAACTTGTTATTTTTGGAATGACTTAATAATGTTTATTGAGTCAGCCAATATCTGGTAAGTGAAAAGTTCATGGCTCTTAAAAATTCAACTCACACATCTTAAGGTTACATTATTGGTTTTAATTCTGTAAATGCAAAGGAATTCTGGTTACTATGAATAATAATTTCTCTAAAATGACAAAATCAAGTTATGACTTTACTAAACAACTTTAAATTAACAGAAGTTTCCCTTGCAATAAATTATCAGCATAAATGTCCATAAATCTAAGCAAAAATTAGCATCACAATATACAAAATAAAATAAAGATCTTATTAATGAAGTAGAGTCTCTTTAGATATTTTGTTAAATGGAATAGGTAAGCTGAAGTCCACTTGTAGAAATAAACCTACTTAGAAAAAGGCATTGGCCAAACGGTATGTAAGACCTGCCTACAACCAGAGAAAAAAAATGGATTATTATAAGTTTAAAATGGAAATGATTGGTAAAAAATGTTCAGAATGAGTTAGAAAATTTAATCAAATTATAAGTATCTCATTGTTTTAAAAAAGTTACTTTAGGGCTGAGGATGTGGCTCAAGTGGTAGCGCGCTTGCCTGGCATGCGTGCAGCCTGGGTTTAATCCTCAGCACCACATACAAACAAAGATGTTGTGTCTGCCGAGAACTAAAAAATAAATATTAAAAAATTCTCTCTCTCTCTCTCTCTCTCTCTCTCT